TCACCTATATTATATTAACGCGCTCGATCTAACATCGTATTTAGAAAGATTCTTCGTGGTCTTGAGGCTTTCGAGAAGAACACCGGAATGGCGCACCCTTCGGCTGTGCAAGGCACAGAAAAACGCGGAGCTGGCGACCCATTGACTGACGACAACAGTGAGCTCTGGTACGGCAGTATTTCGGTCGGTACTCCTGCCAAATCCTTCTCTGGTAGGTGCATATTGCACGCTTAATGCATATTTTTCTTGATCACTTTCCCATTGGCAGTTGATTTCGACACGGGCTCCAGGTAGGCGCTTGCATTATGTGCACACCGTTTTCTTTTTGTTGAATTGGACGACAGCGACCTTTTCTTACCAGGAAATAGTTGTGATTCAACTTGTAGTGGTCACACTATTTGGGATCCTACCTCTTCTTCCACCGCGCAAGATCTGAGCAAGACATTTTCGCTCTCGTACGGAGACGGTTCCACAGTCTCGGGTGAACAATACACCGACACCGTCTCGATCGCCAGCTTCACTGTATGTTATGTGAAGCCTGTCAATGCGACTATTTCTGACAGTCGATTGCTCAGGCAACGACGCAGACCCTGGGTTCTGCGAAGACGTATTCTACTGGGTTCCAAAGTTCTCAGTTCCCCGCGGATGGGTTGATGGGAATGGCCTTTCAATCTATCTCTGAGTATAATGCCAGTCCCGTCTTTCAGAGCCTCGTCTCCGAAGGACAAGTGACCGATTCCTCGTTTTCGTTCAAACTCTCGTCTTCTGGAGCCGAACTGTACATCGGTGGATCGAACTCCGATCTGTACACTGGAAGTTTTACATATGTCCCTGTCACGCAGCAGGTATGATATCTTGATCGTGTGCGCATTCTAGTGACCGACATTGGCGTAGGGTTACTGGCAGGTGACCATGGACAATGTCCAGAGCAATGGGCAAACACCATTGAGCAACGTCGATGCTATCATCGACACTGGCACCACCCTCATCGTTGGTACTACCTCTGACGTTTCAACGTTGTACAGCGCCATTGGTGGTACAGCCGCCCCTAGCAGTGTTGGCCAGGGTTTCTATACCTGTAAGTTCGGGCGCGACTACATGTTTTGCTTTGTCTGACATTCTACAGTCCCATGCAGTTCTTTCCCGACTATCGATCTTACCTTCGGTGGGAATTCGTTCCCAATCGCTGCTTCAGCGCTCAATCTTGGACCCGTTTCGTCCGGCTCATCTGATTGCGTCAGCGGCCTTGTAGGCCAGGATATCGGTTCTTGTGAGTCTTCATACCCCTCATATCCGTAGTGCTCCCTGACGAGTACATCTTTCGTGTCCCCTCGTCAGCGTTCTGGATTGTCGGCGATGTTTTCCTCCAGGGCATCTATACCGTCTTCGATTACGGAAATTCTCAAGTGGGATTTGCGCAGCTTGCTTGAGCGTGCCCAGCCGCGAGGTCATCGGATAAATTTATTCTCTGATGAATAAGTAACTACCAGTATCGAGCGTTTTGAGTAATTTGTAGGCTGACAATCTTGCGATACATGTGTTTCTACCCTTCTGATTGCCTTGCTCGCCGTATGAATAGTGGCCTGGATGATCGAAGTTGCCACATTTCTTCAGAACGTCGATACCAAGCCTGAACTTGTCGATGTTCGAGCCGGATTCGTGCCAGAGCAGGATTGTCAGAAATGTCAAGACCTATGCATTGCCACGTAACATATGTTCGCGATCTTCCCGCAGGGACACGGCACAACGTACGTCACCCTGTGTTTTCCAGATCAAGAGGGAAGCAAACAGACACGTGGATAAACTGTACTCGAGTATATTGCTATTTCTCCACTTTTGATCCATGTACGCTCTGCTTCCTGAACTACTTCATTCCAACATGCCGATCACTCGGTCCACGTGCTATCTTCGTCTTACTCGGATGGGGGCTGATAACATCACGAAGCTTCTGATCATCACATCATCACATTAAACCATTCGAGTCAGCGACTTGAAACCAAATGACTCGGATCGATATACATACATAGATAAAAGGTACAACAAACTTAAAATTTTCATCTCGGCGTCATCATATCAAACAAGTCAGTCTGAATGCGGCACGTCAAATCTTCATTCCAATCCTCGGACCCGACACCCTTGGCAACAACGAAAAGCTGATAAGGATCATACTTGTTCTTGATAGCTTTAAGTGCCGAGTAGTGAGAGCCGAAAAAGTCTTTCTGCCAGTCTATCTCGAACAAGGACGCCTATTGAGCAGGGTTGGTGCATCAGCATGGCACCGCCTGAGTTATCGAGTCACGAAACAAGGAATCCCGTGACATACTTCGTTCAAGTAAGCACCGTCATCGGGGCTGAGATCGTACGTGGCCTTGATCCATCCTTTAAGCTTAGAGATTGATTTTTGGATATCTTGGGAGGACGCGCCATCCTCCCAGTTAACCCCGCACGTAGTTTCCACGACTGCGTTCCGCCAGGCTGGATTCAATCCAGCAGAGTCCGCCGCGAATTTGCTAACCTTGCCGCCTGCGATCGTGCTGTGTACAAGTTAGACAATATCAACGTTTAGGCACATACAATACGAATGCAGTTGAACCTCACAGGAATTCGGAACCACAGTCGATGAGGACCTCGGCGATCTGGGAATACTTGGTCGCCACGGTCTCCCGGGAGAGAAGTCGAGATGTGAACATGAGATTTAAACCGTTCTGGTTGCCGCTTCCGAAAATGACTTCAAACAGCTCGTACCAAGATGGAGAATAGGATATCTGCTCATCGGAGACCATCCCAAATGGTGCCAATGAAGTGGTGAAGTTGTGCCAGCCCTGCGTGGTCGCTACTGCAGTTTCGTTCGTCATATTAGGTCCGAAATAGAAAAACCTGAGTTGCTCGTTGGTTATAGCCCCGTATCCACCCCAACCATCGTCTGTAAATTGGGTTTGGAAGCGCAGCAGTCCTCCAACAAGTTCCAGAAGCACCGATGAATTAGTAATATTTGCCTGGAATGTGTATAGCTGGGTCGGGACCATGGGCCAGGTGCGGTATGTAACAGAGGTGACGATTCCGTACGTGGATCCACCGCCCCCACGCAACGCCCAGAAGAGATCCGAGTTCTGGTTATTGTTCACGGTCAAGAACTCTCCTGTCGAAAGAACAATAGATATCTCCAGAGCATTATCAACACCTTGCATTCAAAGTAACTGATTAGTTCAATAAAGCATATGGGCCAGCCTGAGAGAACCCTACCGAGACCATAGCTGGGCGACAGTGGAGAATGACCTCCGCCTGTTAGCCATCCACCAGACGAACCGACTGAACCCCCATAAGAGGCGCCACCGACGATCAGGCGACCGTGATTGTTGGCAGCAGCGTATGCTTCATGCCATTGTACACCAGCCCCAAGTGTAATGGCTATGCAAGACATACTCAGAGAAGGTTGTGCAACGTCATCGAGAATGGCCTACCATCGTATGCCTCATTTGCCTGCGGCCCTTGCGGTGTAAACATATCGTGGTATGTGATATTTTTCATGTTGTGTGTCCACACCATAAATGAACCCCGAGCCGCACTACGTCCAAGGAAATCGTGACTGTTCGCGTTGATCAAGATCGAGTCCAAATTCCATATCAACTCAGAGGACATACCCGGTGTTCTTCACAATCAATTTCAAGTTGTGCTTCGCTGAAAAAGCGACGGCGGCCTGTATATCCTCCACTGAGCGCGCGTCGACGCCGATGACAGGTACGCTCCCTTGTTCACAAACGCCTGTGATGCTCATGTTACGATAGCACGCAGCGATGCTACCATTGTAGAAAGTGAACGTTTCCCAGTTTTGTGCTTCCATAGCTCCAGGCATAGTTGAGCGCCAATTCCCTTCGTACCAATTCTCGAGGACCGCAGTGCAGTTCCCAGATGGATCACTGGCAGAGGAAAGGTAGCACGCTGATGCGCTAGGAACGGGATAGATGAGCGGATGAGAGACTTGGGATTGGAGCTGGGTGAAGGTAGACGCAGAAGGCCAGCAGGATTGGCCATAGGTACAGAAACAACTCGAATACGATTTACCCCAAGCAGCCATAGGTCCTGCGACTCCCACAAGAGCAAGTGTAGAAATAGGTCCCATTCCTGTTCTCAATCAAACCGTCAGAGAGGAAAGGATATGATGGCAACAGACTGAGGTGCTATCCTTGGAGCATTAAGCAAGGAATTACATATGGCAGAGATCTGCTTGACAGTTGAAGTTATTGTGACGTCTGATCGGCGTTTGAGCCACGCCAGACTCCCCGTTTCATGTCTGCCAACACCGGTGGTTAATTAGTAACGTACTTACAATCGAGGGAGTACATATTCAAGTTCGTTCTGCGGGAGGTCAGCGAAGCAAACTGGTCACAGTAAGCACTCATGAATAAATGATGCTGCAACTTTTTTTCGGCCATGGCCGCCATGCTAATGCCGCCGGCTTACAACCCCCTTACGACTGTCTTATAAGGTCTGCTAATCCTGTTTTGAACATCACAAGGTTCATGATAATGAACGTCTCAATAAAAAGAATTATATAATTATTTCGAATTTGCGTTACAATGGGGTACGAGCTTATGGTAATTTATGGTAAGTCATTATTCCCAGCCCCGCAAAAAAGTAGTGTTGGTAAATATCAAATCTAATGTGTTACGAGGCTACAGTAAGTGTGAGCACAATAATCTGTGATCTTGAAGCGTGCTCGTCAAGCTTCGCATCCCACTAGTCTGTGTCTTCTGTCCAAACAGGCACAACACTGGCATGTGGAAGTGATTGTGGAACTGAGATGGAACATGACACTTTTCCATCTTAACAATGAAGAATTTACATACCAGAACAATAAAGTGCAGAACATACAGAGCCCCTACACTTACTATGCCAATCTGCAATGATTTATGATTAAATTTGCTAACATTTCAGTTGTACTTACCAATTCTAATTTGCACCAACTCTTAGTGTAGACAGGGTTGGTAAGCAAAGGTAGTGGCCGACTAGCTCAGTTGGTTAGAGCGTCGTGCTAATACTTGGTTCTGACTGTCGCTTGTCACCACGTGACGGTATGGGGCTGAGGTACGCGAAGGTCTTGGGTTCGATCCCCACGTTGGCCATTTTTTTTTCCTGCCAGTGCAGCCCTGGGACGACCAGATAAGTCCTTGTAACATAGTCTCTGTAAGCCTGAGTGATTTGTCATTCTAAGAATCTACCAAGCTTGTATGACCCTCACACCATGACCACCAGTGGGAAAGTATTGCAAATGTGCATTGGTCCATTGTCAGGATCACCGGGGACCACTTCACCCTCATGGCTTTGGATGTTACATTACACCAGCTCAACTCCAGGGAATTTTCAGGCAAGAGTGACTATATATACAGAATGCACAGAGGGGACTCATCACGGCCTCTCATAGGTTTCTTGTGACACAATGTGTTTGATGAATCTTTCTCCAGTACATCATATATGGTGTAGCTTTTCTCATGCAGAAATGGCGAGCCCAATTGACTCTGCTACCAATGTACTGCTTGCTGGTAGTAAGTACATAGGATTTGCATGCAGCCTCTTGACAGTCCAGTAATCCAGTATTTATCATACTACATAATCCACCTTTACGTGTTATTAATTTAGTAACAGTGGACGTCACGCGTCATTGTCCGAGAACGCTGTTCGCCGTCAACCTTCCCATCGGTTGATTTAACAGGGGCGATCCCACATTCTCTGGTCGCACCCCAAAGAATCACTGATACCTTTGTCTCTGGCTTAGTTGAGCATATTCGTTCAACATAAGCACCGGAGTAAGCAGAAATAGCACTTGAACAGCTCTTGGACCAATAGGAATACTTTACTACTTACCAATCTATGTCGAAACGTACAGTGTATATTGTAAAATAACATCTGTCGAGAACGGAGTGATAACGCTAAGATGGCGAACTTACAATACGGATCAGTAAAAAGATGTTGAACAAGCGATGGAAACCCAGTGTGCAGCGGCAAGATGGCGTTAAAATTTGGCTGAGCTTCCCACAGCGTGTATATCTGGTGAGGACCCCACGAGTCAATGTGAGAGAGGACCGGCTCGAGGACTGTGGGATCGTGTTATATTTTTTGCCTACTGCGTGGTTGTGAGCTTGTCACATCTTTCATAATCCAAACGTTCAAGTTCAAACTACTTGCTACTTGTTGAAGCTGAAGGATGCGGTGGCAGCGGCGGCCGCGGCATTGAATATTTGTTGAGTAATCGAACTGAGACGTATGTACAAGCCACACTCAGCCAAGTAAGCCGAGTAGTCAAGCGATATAGTGATGTAAGGATTGCTACGCATCCGGCTACAGATCTAGTCCGAGCGACCACTGCCTTTTCATTTTATTTGTCAGTGTTATTCAGCACTATTCAGTTGTTTCTAAGCTCTCTGTTTACCATACACTTCATAGCCTTTTCACTTTCATATATAAGCCTCCTTGTATGTTCGTCTCAATGATCGATAATAATCAGTCTAAGAGTCCAATCCCGATCGTTTCAGCTCAATCCGAAGTATTCCGACGTTCTGCACGCTTTCCGAGTCTCCCGATTCCGCACGTTCTCCGACTCTCTCTATGCACGGACGCATTCACTCTTTCTCGCACACTCAACAAACCATCTACCGGCTCAGTCACCTTCCCCTTTCGCACTTGCACTCGCCTTCCACGTTTCGCCAACACAGCAGAGCGTGCCGCTACAAACATTGGAGCCCACCGCGAGGGGAAGTTTCTGATTTAGCCACATCCTCCCACGCCTATTTCCACCATTCCACCTAAACCATCCCACAGCAACGTGTCCGTTCCCGCTCGTATCCTGAAGCACCCACTGCTTCCGCCTGGTGTCCTAACGAGAGGAGCCACCCGACGAGCTGCGACCCAACCCACACAGCCAAACACACCGTTTTCCGCAGATCAGCCAGAAGAAGTTTTCGTGACCCCAGCCGAAGTATCTATAGGTCGCATCCCATCACCTGTCGAATCCGAGTCCCCATCTGAATTGCTGTCCATCTCCGTATCACCCTTCACGTCGAGCATCCCATCCGCATCATCGATCTTTCAGCCTTTGCACGCCCATTTTCAATTACGCACCCCAGCAGTTTTCCCGCAGCTGCCTCTACCTTCATCTGTACAGCCGCTGCCACCTGCTCTCGTACAACCACCACAGCCGTCCCTCACGCAACCGCCGCCAGCTCCATCCGTGATCATGTCATCTCTTTCCATGGGCACCACGAATACCATCAATTTGAAGGGCATTAATGCAATGCCGTCGCCTATGTCTTCGAAAGTGCCGACGTTTAATGGCGAAACGTCCGAGCTGCTTGAGTTCTTCGAACTCTTCAAGGATTATGCGGACGTGAGTACCCTTTCCGATGCGGAAAAATGCAAGTTGGTTATTCGCTACGTCGATAAGATGACCAAGTGTTTTTGGGTTACGCTTACAGGATACGAGAGTCATGACTACGTTGTATTCAAACAGAGCATTCTTGAGCAGTACCCCGGCGCAGACAAAGGCATCAAATACACTCGTCGCGACCTTGAACTAGCCATCGCCGCCCCTTCCAATGATGATATCTCCACCGAAACCGAGTTACAACAATACTATCGCCATTTCCGTCCCATTGCCGTCTGGCTTGTTGATCAGAAGAAGATCTCTGCCAATGAACGGGATCGCTATTTTTGGACTGGATTGCCACTTTCTGTCTACCACGCTATCGACTGACGCCTCAAGTTGAAAGACTCACAGTATTCTCACGATGAACCAACCCATTACGAGAAGGTGATGGAGGCTGGACGTTTTGTCCTTTCCGATGACGTGTTTGACGCAGACCTCAATGACCCAATAGCCGCACGTATGAAGTCCCTGTGCGACGGACGAGGCAGCTCAGCTGATAAGAAGGATCAGTCACGAACAAGTCGAATTGCACAGATCAAAGACTCTGACGATGAATCAGATGATGAAAATAGTTGCAAGAAAGAAGCCCCTCGTGATATACAGACCAAGCGAGTCACGTTCGATTCAAGCGCGATCTCCAAGGCACATATCGACGAAGTTGAAGAGATTGGCCGTAAGTTACATATGCTCAACTTAGCAGACATCTCCTACTCGGCTCTCTACACTCGCCTCGCATGCCTCGCTCCAGCCGCGGCACAGGCCTGGGCTTCCCCATCTTCCCGTCAGTCACAGACCCTGCACCAGAGTCGCCCGCAAAGCACTACCGTCGCCAACTCCTCATGCTATATGTGTGGCGGAGGTCATTTTCTTCATGATTGCATATGCGTACTCGAGTATATCCGAGCAGGCCGCTGTAGGAGTTAGATACCCCCTACGGTTGTAGGATACATTTTCCTCGCTCTTCATCATGTCATATCATCTCCCGTCTCATCCGCCATTGACTTCGTGCCAGCCTGGTTTCATTCCTAGCATTTACAGATCATCCGAATCCAATCCGAGTCCAATCCGAGTCAACGCGATCCAATCCGGTCCTTTCGTACGTATTCCGCTTCATCCGATTTGACTTGTGCTACTTGATTTGGCCTTATTAAGGTCATTACTATCCTAACACCTTTCCTTTCTTTGTCATCTACAAGGTTGACACCTTGTAGATGACAAAGAAAGGAAAGGTGTTAGGATAGTAATGACCTTAATAAGGCCAAATCAAGTAGCACAAGTCAAATCGGATGAAGCGGAATACGTACGAAAGGACCGGATTGGATCGCGTTGACTCGGATTGGACTCGGATTGGATTCGGATGATCTGTAAATGCTAGGAATGAAACCAGGCTGGCACGAAGTCAATGGCGGATGAGACGGGAGATGATATGACATGATGAAGAGCGAGGAAAATGTATCCTACAACCGTAGGGGGTATCTAACTCCTACACCGCGTCATCCGCAAAAACGGTTATCTCAACTTTCCCGATAGAGGACGTATCAAACGTCATGCGACAACCAATTTATTCAAGGACACAATTGACGAGTACTATCAGAACCATGCAATCCCACCTGCTTGCACTCCATCCGAATTTGTCAGAGAATCCCCGCCGCATCTTCAGCAAGCCACTACGAATATGTTTGTTGCACCAGAACCGTCTGCAGTTCTCTTCGAATGCAACCGCGTCGAAGATGCTATCACAGACACCCGAGCATCCATCGAGGAAGTACCTGATGAGGAGGATGCTGATGTTTTAGCCCTCACGAGATCCAAGGCACGCATGGCTGCTTGCACTGATACAGAGATCCCACCTCCGGAACCCACTCGCTCAGCTAAACAAACACCAGAGACACCCGAACCGCCCATTTCCATGCCTGCACAATCCGTACCAGTGACCAGAGACTCTGCACCACTCAAGCACGTTCCAGTGTATACGTATGAATCGAAAGCTGCATCCCCTGACGCTGCCAAACGGGTCTACGAATTACTTCTTCATACGACGATTCCGAACCTTTCCATCGCAGATTTATTAGCCATCAGCCCCAACTTACGAAAGGAAGCAGTCAAATATTGCAAAACACATCAGATTCCCACTCCGTTGACGACCGCAGTCACTACCTTGCCGCCAGTCCAGATCGAGCATGCCACACCCCTTCACGAAATCAAAGTTGTCTTAAATGGGAAAATTGACAAGCTTGCGCTACTTGATGAAGGATCCGAAATCGTAGTCATCCACCAGGACGTTTGGGAGCATCTCGGAACACAAATCTCGAATCACACAGGAATGACAATGCAAACGGCAAACGGTGACTCACAACCAATGATGGGATGTATTGAGATGCTGGAAATTACAGTTGACGGTCTCAAGACTTGGGCTCACGCGTATGTCGTCCCAAATGCCCCATATCGTCTCCTTCTCGGCCGCCCATGGCAGTGCCTCGTCCGCCTCCAGAAACACAAAACCGCATGCAACGTTAGCATTACCATTGCAGATCCGCTCGACCCATCCAACGTCCGGATGATCCCTATGCATGCATGACCATTCCCTCACAAGCCGCACAGTGCACATGCATTAGCACTAACCCAGACTGAATGGCAGGGAGTGATCTTGTTGCTTTCCATGTCCTCGCTCGCAGAATACCAGCTTCAACAGACCTTCGACAT